ATGGCCCACACCCACCCACAAACCCCACCCCTCCTGTAGGCAGGAGCTCCCCTCCCCACTTACCCAGCATCCAGTCGTACAGCTCTATGCCTCCATCATGGAGGTGGAGGCACAGAGACTGCCATGGTTAAATTATGCAAGGTTATGTAATTATGCATGGTCATGCCATTTATGGGCAAAATTGCATGGGTGCATGAATGCATAATTCCCCAGGGTGTAATTACTAGGAGGAAAAGAAACAAAAGCAGGCCACTGAACCCTTGTGTCATGAATGGGTTTATATTATTCAGTACTTATGTGAGTAGGTTTTAAAGGCAATTCCTTGTTAGGGTCAGTGGCAGGAATTTCTTCAAATATAATAGTTTTAAATAGCTCCATCTTTGTTAGGAAGGACAAGCAAAGATTGATTAGTGATAAATGCAGACAAGAAGTTGTGATGAACACAATTCCCAAAACTCAGTGTATAGGAGAGCAGTATGTTTTGAGTGACAGACCAAGTGCATGCTGTCCCATCAGGGTATTGGTGTGGTGGTTGCAGGGTACAGATGCAACAGTTGGCAGTAGTAGACAGAAGAACATAGATTTAGATTCGTACACAGAGCTGTATTTTACTGAACTCTGGGAACATAGCTGTGAGTTTTGCTTCCATTCCTTTTTTTTTCTTTTACTGTTAATTTATTTTTGCTCAAGGCAGCGACGCTAACTACCACGTACACATTATAAAAAAAAAAGAGATTAAGAAAAAATATCTTGAGTCTCTGTGAACTCATTTGTCTCCCAAAGTCCAAAGTTTCGTCACTATTTGAAGCCTGGGACACAACTATTTAACTACGGAGTGACAGAGCAGCTCTTTTGTTTGACATTAGAACAACACTAGAATAGGTTTTAGTTAGATCAGATATTGGATATTTGAGCCTGGCTTTCTGCTCTAGTGCTCTTGCAGAAACGTCTTAGGTTCCCTTGACGCTTACTCCTGGAGTGTAAGTGTTTTTATTCTTGCTATTTCTATAAGGAAAGGACATCTGAGGAGAACTGCATGCTAAATATAATCATGGGAGTATGTGGCTTATGGCATAATTGGGTTATCTCCAGTTTGATCGTTGTTTTTTGGCCCTGACATTAAATGCAAGGCAAGGACTAAGGAGGATTCCTGTTCACAATGGGTATTGCTTGCTCCTGGTTCATCTGTTGTTGTTTTTTTTCTCTCAAGCGTATCAGCTTGATTTATGAAGCTGACTGTAAATAAATTCTGTATGTGATATTATTTCAGCTTAAGATGCATCAGTTATGCAAATGAGAGAATAAAATACTCTTAATGCTGTGGCTAAAAGGGGACAACAGTTTTCTTGGCTTGAGTAAAGCTAGGTTGAATTAGTTATAAATATTTTATAGCTGATTTTCTGCTACCCAGGTACACCCATAGATTAGCTTGCCCCCATTCATAAACCTACAAACTGCTCCAGCAAGCATTTAGCATGCACTGGGCTTAACATTTTAAAACTTAACTTAAATATAGACAGGACTGAGAGTGGGACTGTGTCATTCTGAGGCTAAATGAAAATGTCTGTGATAAGTAAAACTGGGGATGTGACGGTGACAACTCTTTATAGATAGCAGGGAAATTTTGTCAGTGGAGAAAAAGGGCACTGCCTTCCATGCTGTGCACCCTCCTAAATGGAAAGAAAAGGAGGATCTACCTTGGGTGGTATAAACCATTAGAGCTTCCTTGAGGTTCTGCCCATGTATAAGATAGCTCTGGTGTGATCTGGTAAATTCAGATGGGAGGTGAGGAGGAAGCTGGTGTTACTACTGTGGTGTGAACAGTGAGGTGGATGTGCAGTAAAACCTGATCCACAACAAGAGGCCCAGATTGACTGTCTTGGTGACAGACATATTGGTAACAGGGAGTTGGCAATAGTGCTTCTTTCTGCTATCAGCAGCAGCTTTGTCCTTGAAACTACAATTTACATCACCTGGACATTTAATGGTGCATGATCTAGAAAAGAGATTGTGCACACAGTGGGGCACTTGTTGCCTCTATTCCCTATAGCCTCTATACAAATACTCATTGATCAGAAATCAAGGACTTCAGGTTAACAGTAGCACAGTTCCATGTTTCCATAGCATCTGCTGTAGTGGAAAATGATTCTATTTAAAAAACAAAAATCAAAGCAATCAATAGTGAAAACTGACTAGAAAATTATTTGAGGAATGTATTTTGACAAGTTTGCACTGGCTTTATGTGGAATTCACTCATATTTGAAAAGAAGCATGGAAACATTAATGTAGCCTGGGACAGACTAAGACAGAATTCAGCCCACATATTTAAAACCTCTCTACTCTGTCCCTACCTGTAAGGAGTGCGGCTAAGCATGATTTTGTAATTTAGTGATCCCAGGGTCATAATGATATTCTGATCTGGGGACTTGTCACTGGGGGTAGACAATTCCCCAGCCCCTGTTTCAAGGAATCCAGCAAGAGGCCTGGAGGTAGACCCAGTGCATCAATAACAAAAGTCATGACAGTAAATTTGACCACAGACAGAGTGCCAAGTTATCCCTTTGAGTTAGTGGTATCCATGAGATAGTGGGGCCATGCCTTCCTTTTCCTGTCCCAGTTCTAGAATTACCAATGAAAAGGAGGTGAAATAATACCAGTGCCAATAAGGGTGGCAAGGGAATCTGTTCTCTTGCTAGTAGCTGTGACATGAATACTGAAGTAGTGACACCCTAGTCTCGAACAGGAGGCCAGTTTATTGTGAGAGTGTGTAGCACTTGCTGAACTTGTGTGGAGTTGTCCCCCCCTAACCCCCTAGAAGCCTTCCCAGCCAGCCTGTACTGGGTCTTAGAACAGGAAGATGGGAATCCTCCAGTAGTAGTTTCCCTACGTGAAAGGTGCTGTCTGCTTCCCTGTGACAGCTGTTCCCTCCTAATGCAGATGTAAGCACTGGACACCTGGGGAGCCTGTGCTGTAAATCAGGAAGCAAGGCAGGTATCTTAAAAGAGTGAGTCTCAAATATCTGGTAAGGAATTGTTTAAAATCCTGATTGAGGCAGAATTCATAGGCGTTAAAGCACTTGTTAGGCTGAAATTTAATCAAGAGAACTGGTTTCAAATAGTATTTATGTAGAACTCAGAAACAAGACCTAAGAAATGCAGAGAAAACTGAAAGCAGTTGATAAGTTGAGATGGTTTAACAAGAGAAAAACTAAAGGGTTTGTATCAAATGGAATATTATAGAGTGGTGAACAAGCTAAACTGAATTTAAAAAAATGGACCAAGGCTACAACAAATATTTTAAAGCCAACCTTAATATTTTGGGTTTAAAGAAGAACTTCTGTGTACTGTTTCATTTGCAGTGTGAGCCAAGGAAGGAAGTGGAAGTATCCTGGGGTGCTTTTGTTGTCACTGAGTACAGACAGAATTGACAGTTTTCACTTCATCTGGCAACAGAAAGCAATTTATAGCTGTGAACAAACACAAGTACATGGCTGCAGACTGCTTCAAAAATGGTCATTCGGGTGAAAATCCTCAGGCTCAAATGAAGACTTTTAAATAGTGTCTTCTGTAACTTGTGTCTGTGCTGCCCCCCAGCCTGTTGTTGTTTCCAGAATGGGAGTGGGGGAAAGGGAGTGGAGGGAGCTCAGTCAGTGTTTTTTTCAGCACCTGCTAAGGGGTGAGGTGGGTGAATTTGAAGCCCCCCCTCCACTTTTTTTTGGGGGGGCACTTCAAATCACCTACCCCATTCCAGAGTGGGAGGCCTCCAATTCACTCACCCGACCTTCCAGCACTAGCTCGGCTCCTTCTGCACCCTTCCCCCCTCCCATTCTGAAAACTGTGCAGACTGGCAGGGAGGAAGGGTTGTTACAATGAGAAACCAGCTGCAGTCTGCATCAGCAGGTAGCGTCCCCTCCCCCTGGAACCAGCAGTGGACTTGTGTTTGGTCCAGGGGATGGTTGGAACTCAGAACACTTCTGTGAAGCATGCCCAGTTACAGCAGGGAGCTGCACTTCTGTCTGCACCCTGAAGTACTGGAGATTCGAGACCTTTTCATTTGAGTGAGGCTTAGTTAAGGATGATCTTCACCCTAGAGTCCTAAAGGAACTGGCTGGGGTCATTGCAAGTCCCCTGGCATGGCTTTATGAACACTCGTGGTGCTCTGGAGAGGTGCCTGAGGACTGGAAGAGGGCCAACGTGGTTCCCGTCTTCAAAAAGGGGAGGAAAGAGGACCCGGGGAACTACAGGCCAGTCAGTCTTACCTCGATCCTGGGCAAGCTGTTCGAGAAAATTATTCTGGCACACATCCAGGAGGGGCCAGCAGGGAACTGCATGCTCAGGGGCAACCAGCACGGGTTCATCAGC